GACTGGTCAACTTCCTTTTTGCTTTCCCTGCTGTGTTCACCATCGACACTTTCGGACGTCGCACCCTTCTTCTTTTCACTTTCCCTCAGATGGCTTGGACTCTGCTCGCCGCTGCGTTCTGCTTCTATATTCCCGAGAATACCAAAGCCCATCTGGCATGTATCGCACTCTTCGTGTTCCTGTTCGCGGCATTTTATTCTCCAGGCGAAGGACCCGTTCCATTCACTTATTCTGCAGAGGTTTTCCCTCTCTCCCATCGTGGTAAGTGTGCATTTTGCTTTTTCTGTGGCACTCGTCAGCTAATTCCCGTTACAGAGGTTGGAATGTCGTGGGCGGTCGCTACTTGCCTTGGCTGGGCCGCAGTTTTGTCCATTACCTTCCCACGCATGCTTGCTGTGATGACCCCAACTGGTGCCTTTTGTTTCTACGCGTAAGTGCACATCCTTTTGCTCAAGTCTCTGCTTGTCGGATGTGTGGCCCTCGCTAACCAATACGCAGGGGACTGAATGTCACGGCTCTGGTCATGATTTTCCTCTGGGTCCCTGAGACGAAGCAGCGCACCCTGGAGGAACTTGATTATATCTTTGCTGTCCCCACCAGAAAGCACATGCATTACCAGTGTTTCAAGGTCCTCCCTTGGTGGATCCAGCGTTACATCTTCCGTCGCGATGTTAAGCTTGAACCCTTGTACAAGCTCGACCTGGCCGCTCACGACGAGAAGGTGGCCAGCAGAGAGGAAGGTGGACAGGTCATCACACCCAACACTGAGATGTAAATGCCACTGGCATCCGTTCCCGCTGTGCGGTCTGTAACCACTAATTTTGGGGAGGGGAACTGTGCCACATGGGCTTTCACGAAGATATGACTCGAGCTTACGCCGATTTGAATCATTTGATCGTTGTTTCTAAGTGCAGCTTAGAGAGAAGTCTTAAGTAGTTTGAATTCAAGGACTGATTAGTTTCAAGTTTAGTCAAAAAGATCACTGCAGGTCAGACTTGGGAGAACAATCTTCTCGTACCTCCTTGTAACATGCTTTTGAAGTTTGAACTGTGGTACAGTGTAGGGATTGTCCACCTACGCCCGTGGGCAGATTTTGGAGCCTCGATTTCCGGATGTCTGACACCACCCAGCCTGGAAAAAGCGAAGTTACTCAGACCTGCCTTGGTTGACAACTCGGGTATAGGCGGACAATCCTTCACACTGTACCACAGTGCATTGAACGGACGCTGATAGGGTTTGCAGTCAAAGGGTGGGTTAGGCGGTGAGTGAGTGTTCCGAGAGAGTGAGAGTTGGTGTTGGCGTCTCGGAAAATGTCTCTCGGAAACGTTGTGTGGGGGGCTCGCTAAGTCTCCACCGCCTTGTTGGTGCCTTGATCCTGTGGCGGTTATTGAAATTGTGAATGTCCGGACAGCTCTTAGAGTATCCGGGCCGGAACCGGATGTTGCTCGAGGAGGTAAGACCGTAGAATTGTGCTTACTGAGTTTAAATTTCTATCTGGTTCGAGTTGTCGACTATAAGCAGAATCTCTTGGTGGTTGTTCGGGGTGAGATTTCCGAGAAGAGTATATAATGTATATATAGTTGAGTCACAGAACACAACTTTCTAAATATGTGGCATATTTCTAGGTAGGTGCACCAATTATCAAGGCAATTACATCTGACCGGTCCTGTAGCTGCGCCAGACCTTGAACCCAAGCTGCTCGTACCATCCTTCCAGACTGACCCAATCCACAAAGACTCCCTCGACTCCGCGTTGCTTCATGTCCTCGATCGCGTGGCAGAGGAGAGCAAGTCCGACTCCTGCTTTGCGATATTCTTCATCAACTCCGACGCAGCCGATCAGCCCGGACTTGGGCCCACAGAGAGGCGGCAAGGCCCAGTTCTGCTGCAGGACGGGCGACGACGGTGCGAGCATCAGCGTCCAACCTACCTGTTTCCCGTGCGAGTCAAATGCAACCATGATGCTGGACGGGTGCTCTTTAGGATCGAGCTTGTGATACATGTCGACCCAGGCCTGGCTGGGTCAGTAACGCGTCGGTAGGATCGGAAAGGGGAACGGATACACACCGGATTGTAGGAGAAGTTCTTCTTCTGGCTGGCCAAACACTCTTCATACTGCTCGGGCTGAAGAGGGGAAAAAGTGAAGCCTCGCTCTTTAGCACGCTCAACGTACTTTTGTGGTGGCTGGAAATCTCTGATATCCTGGTACAGATCGACTGATCTTGGAATCAGAGGGTTGAGGCGGAAACCGCGGTGGACGAAGAACCCCTGTACTTCTTCTCCGAGGTCAGTCGGTATACCGGGCCAGAATCGTGGGAAGGAGCTCCCAAGCGATAGGGAACATGATTTGTAATTCTTCATGAGCCACGTCCGCGCTTCTGCGATCAACGCTGTGCCCACACCCTGACGTTGGTAACTGGGGTGGACTGCGAGGACAGACAGCTGACAGCACGTCGTGCCTCGGTTCGTTGTTATATACATGACGCAGAAGCCAACGACCTTGGACTCTAGTCGCGCAACGAAGTGACGGCCGTTGGTCTGAGTCAAAAATCTGTGGAGACTGTCTGCGGGTAGTTGATACGTCGGCAGGGCAGTATTCCAGACTTCGACCAGTTCAGTCAGATCACTGGCGGCTTCGAATGGCGACACATGAATAGAACCCAGCGCGGCCTTCTTTGATCCAACAGATAGGGCGCCCTTTGGAGTCAAGTCACCGAAAAGAATATTTGCGGCGGCTGTGAAAGCCTCAATAGTCGGCTCATAGGTAGTTATATACGTCTTGATGCTGTCATCGTCCAAAAAGTCGTAAGGACTGCAAGCGGCTATGGTGACCAGTCTTTGGGTATGCTGGGAGAGCTTCAGGCCCATCTCTCTCTGAAAGGGTGACTCTCGTGCGTTGAAAGTGATGAGAACGACAGCATCAGCAGCTTCAACAAGCTTGTATTGCTCAGTGGACAGTCCTGCAGAGCCATAGTGAAGCTCAACAGTTGTGGGGTTGTGGGCTTTCAAGACCTCGCCGAACTCCGTGACATCGTAAGTTCCTTTCATTCCTAAACCCTCCCCGTCGACTGCACCTCCTGCGGGGGTTCTTTCCCCTGGGAACAGAAGCACAAGATGTCCCGATTTTGATAGAGGCAAGACATCAGGATCACTGCGGACAAGGGTAACTGAAAGTGAATAGGCGTTCTTTGCAAGCGTGGCAGCTTTCCTGTTCAACGTAACCAAATCATCAAGATTCCGCGGTAGGAGCGCAGTTTCCCAGCTCAGAAAGTTGTTCTTCAACTTGACCACACGACGGTATGCTTCGTCCAGACGTGAAGCTGATATTTGGCCAGACTGTACGGCATCGCAGACCTTTTGGATTGAGGCTACTTGAACAGCGAAGGTATGGCATATCATGATGCTGTCACTACCAGCTTCCAAGGCCAGAGCCGCTCCCTGTTCGGTACCGTATGTGGCTCGAATCCCGTCCATCTCGAGGCAGTCCGTGATGATCATCCCATCATATTGCATCTCATTGCGGAGAATGCTCAAGACATCAGCGGAAAGCGTGGCAGGCAGTTTGCCGTCACCGACAGCGGGCAAGGAGATATGCGCAGTCATCACTGCCTCAACGCCCTCTGCCACAGCTCGACGGAAAGGTATCAGTTCACATCTCTCCAGTTGCTCTCTCGTCTTTTCTATCACTGGAAGCCCATAATGGGAGTCCACTGCAGTATCTCCGTGTCCGGGGAAATGCTTGACACTAGGAATGATCTTTTGTTCTCGAAGTCCTTGCGCAGCAGCGCTTGCAAACCGACCGACAAATTCCGGGTCATCTCCGGGACTCCGCACGCCTATGACTGGATTCAAGGGCTCTGAATTGATATCGCAGACAGGGGCATAATTCATGTTGATCCCGAAGAACCTCAACGTCTCACCGGTGACCTCTCCAACCTGATACGCCAATTCTGGCGAATGGGTGGCTCCAAGGGTCATTGGTCCGGGTAGCTGAGCAGCAATAGGTGGCGATATCCGGGTGACCAGTCCGTTCTCTTGATCAATCCCTATAAAGAGCGGATATTCGTGTCCTGCCAGCCTAGCTTCCTCTTGCAGAGCCAGAGTGAGAGACTTGTACAAGGATCAGCTGGGCCATTCTTCGTTGCTGTAATACATACCTGGAGCTGCACTGCATTTTGAATATTCCTTTTGAACAGCACAATGCCTCCTATCCCGTACTCGTGGATCAAAGTCTTGATCTCGGGACTTGGTACAATACCATGGAAGCCGACCGCAAAAAGCTAACAACAATCGTCAGGTCAGAACTAGCAATTATGATACGGACGTTAAGATAGAGACCTTACCTGGCCAACTTTTTTCTGTAAATCTTCTGGCGGCATCTTTTCAGCTCGTTGCATGAAACTGCAAATGGATGAAGTTTTATCTCGGTTAGGTCTTGGGTTGAAATCCTGCGAATCCAGCTGCTAGTGTTGAAAATATACCATTCTATACAGAAGAAACCGGGTTCAACGAGAAATAGCAACTTTTAAGTCAGCGTGTCTATAAATTCGAATGAAGCAAGAAGGTCAACTCTGAAGACGATGGTGGAGAAGATGCGGAGAACACTGACGACCTGACGTGTTCCACATGGACTGCCCCGATATTCGATTCGATTCACTTTTCCTCGTATTGACACTATCAGTTTATCACAAAGTGACTTTTGGAAGACTTCGCTAGCGTCGTGAAGGATTCAATTTGGTCCTAGTCACCGATAATGGGGCCGAAGATCAGAAGACGAAGCGAGATTGTCTCCAGGAATGCAACAGTAGATGCGGGGTAGCATTGGCCATCGACCATCGCCTCTACACTTTCTCTTATCACGGTGATGATATGTCAATGATTCAACTTAATTGGAGAAATCCCAGCTTATAAGGTCAGTTCGCCCCCTTTTTTTTTTTTTAAAAAAAAAAGCAGCATCTAACATTGATCAAGGGAACTAGAAGCCGTTACACCATTGTCGTCATGTCTCCGAAGAGTCATCCATCCAATCAACCAAGTGTATTGATCGATAACACCAAACACGCCGATGACAGACAACGTGATGATGGAAGCAATACAAAAGCTACAATAACTGCGCAAGAAGTCCAGTCAACACGCGACGACTTCGAACGGCTGTTCGGTGTTGATGAACATCTATACGAACAACCAACAACCACGCGAAGAGAACTATGGTCTTACTATCTTTACTACAACGGTAATGCCCTTTGACTCTTTTTAGCTAGGACCTACTGACGAGACATCTCGTGCTCCTTCAGGGGACAATGGTGTCGGTCCGGGTTCTTATAGTCAAGCACTGTAAGGAAGAAGGCATCTGCAACAATATCAGACCCCAGCTAATGCATCTGTCTTGAAGATTTCAATGGGCCTTGAACGGGGCTGGCTGGCAACCGGGCACCAATCCGCGCCAGCCATGCACGGATTCCTCTCCCTGCGTTGTCTCATGGGCTGGAGGCACGCGGTCCGTCGCTTCCGTAGTCTTGATCGCTAATGGATTGTGCTTTACCTTCATGACGGTGATATTTGTCTGGCTCGGCAGCGCAGCCGACTACGGATCGTTTGGTCGTTGGCTTCTGCTGGCCTTAACAGTGATATGCTGGGCTCTACAGTATGGCATGATGGCGATCAGGCATCCCAGTCAGTGGCCTGCCGCTATGGCGATGTATGTAGTTGCATACATCGCCTACGGAGCTACTCTGGTATTCTATGCAGCTGTGTTTCCCAGACTTGCTCGATACATGCCGCATGTCCGCAAAGCTCGTGAGGAGGATCTGAAGGAGGGCAAAATCAGTCGGCAAGAGTATGATGCAATTGAATCCTTGGAAAGAAACCACATCAGGTATGCTTCTATGCTCCCATTACTGGATTAATCGGGCGATACTTACGAGTGGAATAGCAATATATCGACTGCACACAGCAATATTGGATATCTGCTCACTCTCGTACTGAACTTGAGTGTTTTGCTTCCACTTCAGAACAATAGTTATTCGAACAACCTCGCCCTCTGCTTGACAAACTCATGTAAGTGATTCTGTGAGTTAATACGTACCATAAACTGACAACTGTCGCTAGACTGGGTCGTCTTAGGAGTATGGTGGTTCATCTTCCAGCAGAAACGGCCAGGCCCTAAGGTCCCAAAAGGGTCGAACTATGCGACGATTGGCTTCAAGCAAATTTGGCTTGCACTCCGGGAGGTCCGGTCCTTGCCACAGACATTCCTCTATTTCGTCGCTTACTTTCTGCTTGCCGATGGACTAAATACCACCGGTGAGTGCAGCCAGCCTTGCATCTAAGAACAACTGGAGATGGACGGGAAGGAAGCTGATGCAATCTCTGCAGGAACCTTGGTTTCCATCATTCAAAACGACTACGTATCCTTTTCATTTCTACAGTTAACCTATCTAGGCATCACACAGGCTGTATGCTCAATCGCCTCAACATTCGGATTCTGGTACATCCAAAAGTACTTCAAATTTCGGACCAAGAGCATGTTCCTGGTCACAAACCTCTTCAGTGTCCTAATTCCACTCTGGGGAATGGTAGGACTATGGACACAACGAATCGGGTACCATAACCGAGTAAGCGTCCCCATCTTCCATCGTTTTAGCTTCCAAGCTCACAATCGTCCGCAGTGGGAATTCTACTTCTACAATATCGTTTTCGGCCTATTCCAAGCACCCTACTACGCTGTACGCAGTACCACAACTCCCCTCCCATTCAAAACGAGGCTAACATCTGTGCCACCCGGGCAACGCACACGTAGTACGCGCAAACAATGATAAGCGAGCTCATGCCCCAAGGCTATGATAACATGTTCTTCGCGCTCTTCGGCATCACCAATCGAGCTGTAAGCAATCACTTCCCGCAATGCAGGCTGCCTACATACATCCCTGCTTGCCTATCTCCTGCCAATGAGGTATGAGGTAAATAGAACGGAGTAGCGTACTGATTCGGTCACAGTCCTCCATCATCGGTCCCAATGTGATCCAGGCCATTATCAACAATACGCAGAATAACTGGATGGGGTTCCCGTTCTTGTTTGCCATATGTGCCGCTGCGACGATAACAATTGCCTTTGTGGATGTGGAGAAAGGGCGCGCTGATGCGAGGAGGTTCGCGGAGGCGCGGAAGATCGCGCGGGTGTCTGCCGAAACGGGCCTGAGCAGAGATGAAGTCTTGAAGGGTTCGGGTGGTATTACAACGGGCGTAGAAGGAAGTGGATTACCACGGGAGGGATGATCTGTCTCTAGATGTTTGGATCCAGGGGAAGGCACTTTTATACAGCTATACATGAAGAGGATCCTGATGATACGCTGCACAATTAGACACCAGTGAGACGAAATATATAGTAATTCAGCACAAAGCCAACACACTCTATATAAATGCCAATACTCCAGTGGAGCCTTCTATATCCTGTCTATATCTATAGTACATTATCGTATTGACAAATTCTTAAAATTCATGCTTCTGCCCGAGCCTGCTTGTCCTCAATGGCCTTCCGGGAGTATTTCAAATCGGCAGCTTCCCGCCACCGCGGGCCATAGGTAACCGTCAACCACACCAGGACACCAGAGAATGCCAGAAACAGCGCAGATATGGTATTGAACCATCCGACACCAAGCGACTGGGTAGTAGGTAAGACAACGCCGGTGCCCAGTGCCGCAAACACGTATCGAAAGACATAACTGCTGGCGACGACTTCCGCACTGCGGCCATGCGGTTGCATCACATCGAGACAGTAGGACTGAAGACTAGGAAAACAGAACATTTGCGCCACGCCCTGCAGGAACATTGCTACCACGGGCACCGCAATGCCACCAACCTCTCGATCGAGTGTCCAGCCGTAGACAAGGAGACAGCCTGGTGTAATGACACAGATGTATGGGAGACAGGACCGCAGTCGGTCCTCCGACACGCGCTGTCCATTGCGTTTTTTAATATACTTTTTCACGGTGTAATCGGCCCAGCGGCCGCCCACGAAGGTGCCGGCCAGGTATCCGCAGCCTGGCGCAAGATAGAAGAGACCAGCTTGGATTGGGCTGGACAGGTGAAAGCGAGGGTTGAGAACGTATCGGATTGGCGTTAAGAGTGCGTATTGGTTCCAGACTAGAGCGCCGGCTGCTAGGCCAGTAATGAAGATATTCGGATGGGAGAAGAGGAGAAGGAGGGCACGTAAGGGTGAGATGCGCTGCCATATCATTTTGATCCTCTTCGGATAACGATGGCCCGCAAGCTCGGCCTTCGATGTGTGCAGAATGGTCTCTGGGAGGAACAGAGTGATTAACAGGACGGCGAAGCCGGTCAGTGCGGTCAAGAGCCAGAAGATGACTCTCCAGTGCCTGAATGTGACCACAATACCCTGGGTTCGACGAGGCGTGTTAGCGGCTAGTTACACTCTATGTTCTCACCAAAAGGTAGAAGCTCACCCCTAGAAATGGACCTAAAGCAGGTCCCGTCATACTCCCTGACAGAAACCATGCCAATGCAGTGGCTCTGGCCCGAGGCTCGTAGATATCCCCAATTGCAGAGCTTCCCACCACGAGGAATGACGTGCCTTGTAGGGCAGTGAGAACTCGGAATATAAAGTATGCAGGAAGGTTGGGAGATAAGGCAGTGGCGGCCGTGGAGAGCCAAAATAGCATCCCGCTTAGGATAAATATCTGAAGGGATCTGCAGTCAGACAGTGAACTGATAACACTGCAAAGGTTGCTTCCGGCATACTTACAGGACGACGACCCCATACCTGGCTGAGAGGACCCCAAAACAAGCAAGAGACGGTCATAGACGCAAGATACAGCGCATTACTAGCATTTATCATGTCTCCTGTCGTCCCAAATGTCGTTGCAAGTTCCGGAACAGCGGTTAGGATAGCAGTGGAAGAAATGGGAGTAAGGAAGGCACAAAATGTTAAGATAGCCACGATGGCTATCTTTCGAGACGGGGAGAACCGCAGGTATTGCTCTGCATCTTCCTCCTCATACTCATCTGTCTCCGTTGAACTGTCATGGTTCACAAGGTGACTTTGTACTTGAACAAGGGTCTTAGGTGAGCTAGGAAACGAGCTATAAGAGGAATTCGCCCCTTGAGGGCCCTCTACGGGCAGCTGGGTTGTAGAAGAGTTCAGAGAGTAACTGTCAGACATGGTGGTTGTGTCTTCTGATCTGGACCAAAGAACCCCGAGCATTGTGCACGGCTATTGATAGGTATTGAGACAGTGTAGTCTTGCAAGTACTGGAACAAATGCGTTCGAACTTCTGGCCACAAACAATTGACCCCGATATATTGAAGAAGGCTTCTGTGTGCATCTCAAGTAGACAATCAAATGTCCGGAAGATCCAAAGGGTGGTTGGGTCCTTGAGTACACATGAAAGACGCGCAACCCATAACATAGATATGGAAAGGGAGAGCTCGCCTCGGCAAACAAATGTACAACAGACAGCTGTCGAGCACATCTTGACGCTATGTGCAGTTCATGACCTTAAGGGCACTGATCAGGCGGCCGCCTCCTTGACCATCGAGCATTACGCGTCGCGATGCAAGCATCCAATTTTCAGCCCGACTATCATCACGTCGATGAAGCACGCAATGGCTAGAATCCTTAGGGATGTGAGGTTCAGAAGCTCTCAGTAGCTCGATTTGGAAACACTACGCAGTCTTTCTCAAATATGTTATGATATTCGACCCACGCAGAGACAGCTGAGGTAAACAGAAACCCAATGATCCTCTCCAACGGTGGATACATGGATGGGCCGCTATATGCTTCGGGAGAGGGCCCGGATGCCTATAGCTTGGCCAAGAGTGGAAACATGATCGACAACGCAGAACGACGGGGCTGGTGCATGGCCAACGGCAGCCCTGGTAAATCGCATAAGGGAGATCCTTAAGCAACGCATGATACGCATCATCTCATAGAGAGCTCGCATAGTGTTACACCATACTTCCAATTGAGAAGAGATGATGCACTAAGCTCCGATTGGAGCCTGTGTGGCGTACGGATACGCCTATCGGCGATCATCTCGTGGCCAAGGAACCGCGGTTGACGGAAGGGTACATTCCATCAGCAAAGGAGAAGCAGGGGAATTTCAATGACTTGTTTTCAAAATAAACCATGGGGCAAATTGAAATATCGTCCTTTGCATAGAGAGGTAGAAGTTCGGCATTCTGAGCATCCGTTACCTAATCAACCTTGGCGATCACCCTTGGTGGATCAACGAAGGGATAAGCGACTCGGGGAGGCCATTCCAGAAACCGATCGACCTGCAAGTCCTGACTTCTCAAACAGGACCTTCTGATCTCTAGTATGCTCATCTGCGATTGGTTCTCTACTTGATGATAAATTTTCAGACCCGTAGCAGGCAGAATAGCAAACTTGAGGTGAGAAGCAGGGGTAAATAGGGAGTAAGGTAGCAATCTCACGGTTCCATAATGACTAGGGTTTCCTCTTCCGTTCTTTCTCAATGTCAACTCTCAACTACCCTTATCTCTAGGCAGCGAAGCTCATCAGAGATAGTCGAGTCGTCTTGAATTTGCGAATTGACCCCTGAGATGGTATGTTGATAGTTCTGAAGGAAGTTTGTGATAGCGCTTGTCGTAAGACGTTCGGCAGACCTTCCATCGACCTGAATCCTCTAAATAGACTGAACAATGAGCGTCGACATAGCATCGATGCCTTTAGGTCGAGGGAGGCCATTTTTGCTTGAATCTGCTTTCTGTAGCAGTCCAAGCTATGATGAAAAGCTGCCCTTGATTGAAAGCAGAAACAGGTCGCCAAGTCATCAGATGAGATAGCTTATTAACTTGTCTGTTTTAAGCCACCAACAGCCACTGATGTCTGCTGTCTTTCAGTGTACGCTTTCCCCGGAAAAGGGGCGTAGATAGATGATGCCTTTGCCAAGGTCGACACAGCGGCTGGAGGACCAGCTGCAAGCACTCATTGGTCGATCTTGGGGCCTTGAGATGCTGAAATTGGAGATGAGAATGACGATGAGAATGTGCCATGCAGAGGAAGATGTCGTTATTGGTGATGTTGCATGCGGGGCAAGAGTCCAACCGCTGAACTTACGGAGATGGCCATGACGTCGCAGCCGCATCCCCTCTTGGCAGTCGTTGTCACTTGTGCCCTCTGAAACTCGCCAGCAAGCAAACTAATTAATTCCTTTGGCTAGGTGTCTCTGGTAGTATTACTGGAGAAGCCTCTCTTCCTTCTTCATCCCCACTCAAGCTTACTTCTTCTTGGTCTCTTAAATCTATCCACCAGCGTTTACTAATTTTCTTCTTGGACTACGTGGTTTTCTTGTCAAACACACAGCAGTACACCCAACATGAGCTCCAGCAAGGATCCACAGTCTGCCATTCCCCCTGCAAGCAAAGGGTCCTGGGCCAGCTTCTTAAAGGTGAGTTTCGGCTCGGTCGTCCGTTATTACGTCTTCTTAGCCAAATTATGGTTGAAAAGGGTTAACCTAACATCGGTGTTTTGCTAGTCGATCGCCTCCTTCAACGGAGATCTCTCCTCGTTAACCGCTCCTCCCTTCATTCTCTCGGGCACCTCTCTGACGGAATATTCTGCCTACTGGGCTGAACATCCCAGTCTGTTTGTGGCTGCGGCCAAAGAAGCCGATCCTGAGAAGCGAGCGTTGGCTGTTCTGAAGTGGTTTCTCAGCACGCTGCGTCAACAGTACTGCTCCCGCAGCGAGAAGCTGGGCAGTGAGAAGAAGCCTCTAAACCCCTTCCTGGGTGAGCTTTTCCTCGGCAAGTGGGAAAATGACCCTGACGCCGGGGAGACTACCTTGATCAGCGAGCAAGTCAGGTTCGTTTTTCTCTAGTTTGGTCTCGGCTGCGACCCGGTCCTGACCCCAGAACAGCCACCATCCCCCTGCCACAGCCTATGCGATCACCAACGAGAAGCACGGTATTGAGGTAAGTCAAGAGACATTAAGTGGTACGGATGTAATTGATTAGAATCTTACAATCTTTTTTTTTTTTCGCTAGCTACAAGGATACAATGCGCAGAAGGCATCCTTCTCCAACACAATTCAAATCAAGCAAATCGGCCATGCCTTGCTGACAATCACCCCTCCAACCGCGGACAAGAACGATCCGGCCCAGAAGGAGCGCTACCTCATCACACTCCCGTACTTGCATGTCGAGTCCCTCATCTACGGTACACCATTCATGGAACTCGAGAGGTCGACCATGATCGCCAGTAGCACGGGCTACATCGCCAAAATCAATTACTCCGGCAAGGGCTGGCTCAGTGGCAAGAAGAACACTTTCAACGCCGTGCTCTACCACGAGAAGGACGGGGAGAAGAAGCCCCTATACACCGCAGACGGACAATGGTCCGACACATTTGTCATCAAGGACGCTCGCACCAACAAGGAGATCGACCACTATGTCGCCAAGGACATGAAGACCAGCCCGCTGACCGTCGCCCCTCCGGAGGAGCAAGACATATGGGAGAGCCGACGAGCCTGGCGCGACGTCGCATCCGCCATCGAGCGCGGTGATATGGACGCCACCTCCGTGGCCAAGTCGAAGATCGAGAATGCTCAACGCGAGCTCCGCAAAGTCGAAAAGGCCGAGAACCGGGAGTGGGAGCGCCGGTTCTTCAAGCGCGTCGATGAAACGGCGGACGAGGAGTTCCAGCGTCTGGCCAGGATGGTCGGCCTGACTTCACTTGAGAGCGATAAGACCGGTGGCGTCTGGCGTTTTGACAAGGAGCGCGCCGCAAATGCCAAGCCGCCCTATCACCAGACCGGTGGCGAAGGACTCGGAGTATCCGAGTAAGCCTCCAGTCTGCTAGTTGTTACTACAAGAACGGGGCTGTTAGACACGTTCATACAGTATGCACTACGCACTATGCCACAGTGAACGTTGCGAATATAGAATCATTAATCGCTTTTGGGTACGAGGGATCACGTTCATTCTTTTTTTCTCCTTAAGAGTTCCGATTCTTGTATATAGGAAGGTTACGTTAGTCTTGAATACTTAGAATCCACAAGTTGAGCAGGGCAATCCATCACATCACTTCTGACCATCTTACTCCATGAGAATGCCAGTCCATCAGAGAATAAGTCACTCTCGAACTCTAAGGCACCCCAAATCATACAAGATCTTTCTCCGCAGTGAGTACCAGAGACGGTTGATATCTGCTACGTAGATATGCGGTGGTCTGCACATTGAACGCAGTAATAGACAATCCGGACCCACTCTGCTAATGCTACCTACGGTGTACAGCTCTTATCATACCTTACCAACTGCCTACGATCAAAGAATTGAGGGAAAGAAAGAAAACCATATCAAACGCCATCCCAAATCATTTCAATTCATTTCCTGTATTTCCCGGAGCCCCCCATCCCTTGTCCTAATCCAGTCAGAATTGCATAAATGTAGTCCCCAAATGACACCGGATAAGTAGTACAGGAAGGAAGCTGGAAGTATGCAAAACAGACGCACAGAAGGAAAAGGGAAAACAGAAGGCAGCTTTTTTCTGTCATGAACAAACATCAAGTGGGGAAAAGAGCCAGACTGAGGAAATAGAACTGGCAATCTGGGATAGTGGATGAAAGAGAATCATGCTTGGATGGGAGAAACTGAACCGGCAAATCTGAAACAACAGCAGCAGAGATGTCATGAACCGTCAATGATGATAACAAAGAAAAGGAAATATGCCTCGCATTTTTCTCGGTTGAATACAGTATCATCAGCATATCCCTGCGTAGCATATCAAATCCTGGAGGAGAGCTGACCGAGCTCCCCTCGTCGAGAGTAGAGATTACACGTTGGATGATGGCATAAGAAAGGTGACAGAACACAACAGCGCAGTATAGGAATTTTTTTGACCCAGGCATGCCGCCTCGTAGAAAATAGAAAAAAGAGGGGAAAACAAGTTCAAGAGAAAAAGAGCATGGTGAGGGGAAAAAAAGGTATGATGTAACAGTAAACATTCCCATCAACCAGAAAATGATGTGAACGCCATGACCCTTTAATGGCCGTAATTGCCTCCCCAGCCACCGCGTCCAGTATTTCCGTAATAGTTAGCGAAACCTGCGCCTCCGTAGTTACCGTAACCGGTAGCCTGGTGGTGTGTCTGGCCTGTGGCACCAGCTTGGTGTCCGCCAAGTCCACCCAGTCCACTGCCGTACTGGGGGTTCAGATGAGGGTATCCACCGAATCCCTGCTGTCCCTGCTGGCCTTGAAGAGGGGGAAGGCCAGTCTGCGCTTGAGGCTGTCCGGGCACACTGTTAGTGGCAGAGCCAGGACGGTTGGCCTGCGCAAGGGAGGGACTGGGCCCGGCCGCCTTAGGTGTCTCGAAGCTCTTCGTCTCCTCCGAGGTCACCGGAGGCTGCTGGGAGATGGGCTGGTTTTGGCCAAAACCAGCCTGTGTGCGGCCAAAAACATCCGACATGCCCGCGCCAAAGGCGTTGGTGCCAGCGGCGGTCTGCTGGGTCTCAGAAGGCTGCGTGGATCCAGTGCGGCCATAGACAGAGTCACGGCCGGGAGCAGATTGGTTGAAGCTACTCGCGGTAGCAGGCGAGGAGGAGTGGTCGTAGGAGAAACCGTGCGGCTGGCCATACACACCAGCCTTGCCATATGGGCCATACTGATTGCCATATCCATACTGAGTGCTGTGCGGCATGTAGTGTTGCTGCTCATCATAGCGGCGAGCATCGTCGTACATGGGTCGGTTTCTTCCGTACTGGTGCTGAGTCATCTGGCTCATGTACGAAGCATAGTGAGGGTTGGAGTAGTAAGGGTATCCGTAACCGTACGCGTGAGCGGCAGCTTGACCAGGCATGTGCTGCGCAGTTGGGGTTTGAGTAGCGGCGGGGAGAGTTGGGTTCGGGGTGTTGTGACCGCTGCTAGGAGCATCGACATGGCCATAGCGGCTGGGAGGCTGGGTGGTCGGAGCTTGGGGCTGCACCTCAGCGCCGGAGACACCGAAACCAGCGGCTGCCCTTTGAGCCACAGAGGCATCCTGGGACTGGCCATAGGTGCCATAGTAGTTGTAAGGGAGGCGCTGGTCAACGGCGTAGAAAGGAGAGTATTCGCTGCCGGATGTGACAGCGGGCTGGACGGGGGCCTGGTTTGCGAATGGCTCCTGTACTTGCGGTTGAGGCTGGGTGACCTGCTGAGAGAACGGGTCGTAAGGCTTCTGGGCCTCGGTGTAGCGGGCAAAATCTGTGAAAGAGGAATCGGCAGCGGAGACTTGTGGGACAGGAGGAAGTCCGGGAGCAGGACGGGAAACGGTAGGAGTCTCGGTGGATGGCTGGACCTGAGTGGAAGGAGGTAGAGAGGCACGAGGGGCGACGGGAGAGTGTTGAGGGGGCTGAGCACGGGTTTCAGCATTTTCTCTGTTCTCATCAATATCGACATCGGCAGCATCGCCGTTCAGTCCCATGCTGCCAAACTGCACAGCCGCACGATCAACGGCGTGGTTTCCAGGCATGACTACAGCTTCTTGCTGTTCCATGACACGACGCTGCGATCCGGGGGCCCGAGCGCCGGACTTGAATACACTCGAAGGGAAGGCAGCTTGGGCAGCTTGACGAGCGGGGGTAGAGACAGCCGCGATGCTGTTGGCATCAAGGGTGCTGCCGACTGTGCTAGCCGCAGTGGCTGTGGGAGCGGGAGGTGAAACATCGGGGATTTGTTCGAGGTTTGTCTTGGTCAGACCATCCTTGGGAGGAGTGATGTGCGCAGTGGAAGGGGTAACCGGGAGAGCTTCAGCAGGCTGCTTAGGAAGGACAGGTTCAGGTCCTTTCTCGACGGGAATAGGAACAGCAACAGGGACCGGGACAGGAGCGGGGGCGGTAGCAGCAGGGGGAGCTGGAGCAGGTGCGGGGGCAGGAGCAGATTCAGCTGCTTTCTGCTCCGCTGCTGGCTCAGCGGCTGGCTGTTGTTCTTCAGCGGGGGCGGGAGCTGGGACAGGCGCAGAGGCAGGCGTAGGTGTAACTGCGGGTTTCTTCTGCGGAGGCGGCGCAGGCTTTGCGAACAAGCTCGCCCAACCTTTCTTGGTGCCATCCGGCATCACGTTGGCCTTCGGGGCCTCTTTGACAGCATCGGCGGTCGTAGCGACGTCGACAGTGGTAGGTTCGACCTCAATGGATTTCTCGGGTACGATCGTTGTCTCCACAACGTCCACGGTGGCGGCGACAACGGGCTTCTCGGCGCGTGCCCCGTTAGCACTGACAGCTCCAGCCCGGCCGCCGCGGCCGCCACGACCACGATCCCCACGGGCGCGTCCACGACCCTCAAATCCGCCACGTCCACGGCCTGAGCGAACGGAACTTGTGGTTGCCTCGGTCGGGGTGCTCTGTGCCTCCTTGGCCTTGGAGCGGTTCCGGTCGGTCGTCTTCTTTTTCACCTCACCCCACTGTGAGACGTTGCCTGTTGAGATAGAACGATCAAAGTCAGAGCCAATTCCAGTCAACAGCAGATGTAGAGACATGAGATACAACTCGGGGGATGCGTGATCATACCTTCAGTAATGCGCTCAATAGCATCTTCGAGTACGCCGTCGGCATCTTCCAGAGCAAAGACGAGATCCTCATCGGTCCAGTCAGGGAACAATTCCTTCAGTGTGGGCAGATCGTTCGAGTATTTCTTCTTCATCTGACCAATCTCTCCTTCATTTTCAAATGTGGCCTGGTCTGAGGTGTCTGCCTTGGCCGATCTGCTGCCTCCGCGACCACCTCTGGAGCTATAGCCACCTCGACCACCACGAGCGGATACTCTGCCTCGAGAGGCAGAAGGCCGTGTTTGAACTTCAGACATGTCTTCTGGTAGTGTTGATGTATCTCCAAAACGGAGCAATTAAATAATAGAAGAGGAGATTGAAGGAATTTCCGACGTCGACGGTGGGGCGACAAAGTGTGGCTGACCTGAACGGGTAAAAAGAGGTCGTCGTTAGTGGAAATGATCACAGCTGCACCCTCACGAGAGGACAGCACCAAAACCACAGGCACAAGGGCCGCCGAATCCGGGGAACAACGGGGAAAAGGGAAAAGAGAAGACGAAGGACGGAGGAGAAGGATAGCTAGGTAAAGGAAAAAAGAATAATAAGAAAAAGGGAAGTTATTATAGACTTGTGGGGGAGAGGAAGCAGTAGAGAGAGTGGGAAGAAGGGAGGAAGAGATTAATTATTGGGACTTGGATCAAGATCGAAATGGCAGGGAACGAGACTTTCTGCTGCTAGTAAGGCCGGCGTGTGTCTGAGGGAGACAGCTGAGCCTGAGGCAACAGCCGATCGTTTTGCTCCTTTAGCGAGTAGACTACGGGGGAGGAAGCTCTCTGGGATGATTTCATCATCTACATAGCCTTAAAAGTACTCTTGAAATGAATTACAGCTAGCTATTCTATCTCTGTTGGCTATAGTCGTCTAACTGTTTGTATCGTCATCGATTGAGCTACTATTGACTACTCTACATCTTAAAACCCTCCTTGATCTCCATTATTGTGGACAACTTCGCCTCTCTAACCCTTTCCTACTCTTGTGTGGCCTGCTTTGGTTTGGGTGTCAGGAGACCATCCTTTCATTGGCTGCTTCCACTCACCGCCCCCGGTTTTGCGCTTTCAAGTCGCTCAGGTGATGTTCGCTGCCTGAGGCTCGGATGTTTCCTTGTATGCTCCGTATGAACTGCTGAGGGACAGGTTGAGCAAGAGAACCGAGATATTCCACTCGCAATACATCTCGTCTATCAACCCCACCGCAGCAGAGTCAACATGAAGGGGTCATCATTGTTCAAATTCAGCCCTTTCGCAAAAATTCATCAACCTCTTCCTCGTACGCCAAGAGAATCAGCGCAATTACTGAACGCCCTTACGTCCTCCTTCCGTCGTCAACTAGATCGAGAGTACCCATCATCCTCTTCAACCAATAACGATCAGAACGGTGACAATCCTTTATCCTCCGTTCATGCGACCGACAAACATCTAAGGACTATTTTGGAGAATCCTCTTTTCCGCGTCATTCCCTCAAATGCAGCTAGCCCTGGGCACCAATCCGGTCTTGGACCACTTCAAGAGCAGAAACTGGCGACTGAGCCTATGACTGTCTTCGATGAGTTGGTTGCCTCGGGTTCTGTTAATAAGACCGCTCTGTTCAATTGTTTGAGGGCCCAGCTAGTGCTCGCCAGCGCTCATACCGGCGATGGAGTTGTAGACGCGATGAAGAAGGCTAAGGCCGGTTCCAAAATCGTGTCCTGGTGGTACGCATCCGATTCCGAATCCAGGAAAATGATATTCACGATACGATCTTCAACCGTCACACTCCTCAAATTCATGGTCGCTGAGGGGCTACAGAAGACGGCAATGACCTGGCTGGGAATGCTATTGAACCGTGACCTGGGCGGTGCTGACGGTCGCATATCGGAGGCCATGGCCCAAACCGTGGCTCGCAATTTCCTGCTCGACCTCTTGAAAGCTGAGATCCAGTACGGAGAGGGTTTAGTCTCGGCCATGAGATATTACTTGGAGGCGAGCAGGCTGCCAATCTCTACAGATTACGAGCTCGGCCTTGTTCAGTACAAGAAAGCCCTACTAATGCCTGCAGCCGGGTTTTTGTGCCGCGCAGCCATGGAGGATGAGCAATCGCAGCTCAAACAAATGCCTCTTGAGATGTACGATGAATATGTGAGGATTATCGCTTCATGGTCTCTCAAGTCGTTACTACTAGCTTGCGTGCCTCTTTTCCACCCGACCCGACCTGACGCTACGCGCTTTGTGCAATTTACAGAGAGGATATCACGAGTTCGGCTCACAACATGGCCCAAGACGAAAAAGGAGAACTTTGTGCTTTATGCCATTACCGCCATTCGTATCTTGGTCGATCAGCAAAAATTGGAGGAGGCTTCATACTTGGCACGCTTTATTCAGGAGAATCTACCGGAAAAGATTGGCCAGGAGTCGGCATCCAGCACGTTTGATCAAGTGTCAGCAGAGGAGGAGAATCTATCCAGCCTACTGGGTCTGGCATGATTCGCATTGGCTCGCATGTTAAACATGTCGAATCAACATACACAAACACATCAGATGTAGTCCATTGGACTCTGGCTAATTGGGGCCATTAAAGTGCCGCCTATCCAGCATCGTTCATCGACGTCATGGACTTTGACGATGAGGGACGCACTTCACGCGAGGAAGCGTCCATCTCGTCCCAACTCCGCAATGGTGCTCCACTCTGCCGCACTAATGCCACCCTTCTCCTCTTCTTGGCATGCTTACCTACAACAAAGAACATCAGAAGCGCCGGACTACGCTACGCCAGGGCTGCAGGCCAGACCCTGGTGCTGAGCCCGGAATTGAATTCTGGTGTTGCGTCACTAAATCTAGCATCCGCTAACATGTTGGGGCAAATAGAACAAATAACCGAGAAAAGGCTAGCGTTCTCGAAGATCTTAGTCAACGTCACACTCGCAGTCTCCTCTCCATTCCTTTCACACTTTGTCGTCCTTGACCTCTCCTCATCGGTGATACACTGTTCCAGAATCATCTATCCTAGCGATCTCAGCTATAGTGATAATCAAGTCTCTTTTTTCGAGACAATTATATCGTCTCCATTTCCCATACATCGACGAAGCCCATATAAGTTACACATTAGCAATCACAATCATGGCGACCGAAAACGACTCTAGCGTTGTAAACGGTCACTCCAAGCAAGGTATGTCCAGGATACAGGGCGCTGTCTGGCCGCCTGAGTTAAACTTAAACCCCGTTTAATTACCACCGTAAGCGTTCAGGTAGAGCAATCAGACGCTAATGGACATCGCCAGAGCCTACAATTCAGACTGCAGCAGAAGTCAACAGGCAATCGCTGGAGGATACCGCTAGAGAGACCAAGGTCGACAGCCGTCCACTGGAGAGTGACAAAGCGCTCCCTACAGAGCCCGTCCCCAATCCAAACCAGAGCAGCTCGGAAGGAACCAAGTCTGCCGAAGACTCCAAAGCCGTCGATCCTTCAACTTCTCCAGAACAGGCCCTTGCTGGGGCTGTGACTGACGCTCAACCACCATCTACCGCAGACACCGCGCAAGCAGGAGACAAACAAGAGCACGGCCCGTCTTCGGCACCAGCCCATGATGGCAAAGCTGTCCCTGGAGAATCCACAGAACCCGCACGTAAGAAGCAAAAGATTAGCGAAGAGAATGGTGTGGACGAAAACGGTCAACCAGCTACCCCGGCCACCGGTAACTCGGCCTCGAATGCCACTCGCAACGGTGAGCAGAAGTCAGGGCGCTCTAAGAAAGTGAAAGACACAGTGAAGCGTATAGTTCATACAGATGGTATCGGGAGTCGGACGCGCAGTCGGACCAAGGCTGCAACAACGTGAGCTGCACTCCTTTGATTTCCGGGCTCTATGTCGACCTTCATGGCCTAATACTGAATGTCTGCTACGAGACACTCTCTTTCAATTTCCCTTTAGCAGTCTTAGCAATGATAATGCAAACTGGTATTCTTGTATATCCAGAGTAAGCACACATAATTGTCAGTTCGATATCTGCGAGTATATGTTCTGATTAAGGAACTCAGTAATACTTCAACCCCTTGTGTCAATCTTGATGTGTAATGTTTTTTTGATGTATAAAGGAAGTCGTCTAGATCAGGTACAAGCACAATTATCATGACGGAGCAATCTGTTGTATATCAACGCCTTCTTGAGAAAAGCCGATATCGGCCGACACCCCAACCCCTCGCTGAGTCACAGCCACGGAGCGGATCAACCGTTATCACTGGAGGGGATTTGAGTCTGTGTCATAGCTCCAGTAGTCATTGTTCTAATTTCACTTTCCATTTTTCGAAATCTCGGTTTTCCTTTTCAAGAAAAAATCAATTTGTCTTCGAGCACTCATCAATTGAATTTCACCGTCATGTCGAGCAATAAGATCTGGTTGCGCGCTGAAACCAAGCCCGCCGAGGCTCGGTCTGCTTGTGAGTTCTACATGTTCTTGCGAAAAATACCCTGTTCATCATGGCATTTTCAATCCGTAAATCTTCAAATTGCATGTGCTAATTGTATGGAATGTAGTGACCCCGACTACCTGCAAGGCCCTCATGGATGCCGGCTACGAGGTGACCGTGGAGCGTTCCACACAGCGGATATTCGACGGTGAGAATAATGTCCCCTGATTCCTTCTCAGGGCCAATCACTAACAGAACTGGCTTTTTTTGACAGATAAGGAGTTTGAGCAGGTAATTTGAGATTCGCACATAATCCCTTCTTCGGACGACATTCTCACGCACTAGTTGTACAGATCGGCGCTCCCCTCGTCGAGGAAGGTTCATGGGTGAAGGACGCACCTAGAGATGCCTATATACTGGGCCTGAAGGAGCTTCCCGAAGACGATTTCCCCCTTGAGCACGTTCACATCTCCTTTGCGCACTGCTACAAGCAACAGGCTGGTTGGGAGAAGGTTCTCAGCCGGTGGCCCCGCGGAGGCGGCACCCTCTTGGACTTGGAATTCCTCACAGATGACGCCGGACGCCGAGTAGCCGGTAGGTGACGACTGTTTCTGCTTTGGATGAATGAAAATAGTGTCTGACTTTCACCTTCAGCTTTTGGATACTCCGCCGGTTATGCAGGTAAATTATTTCGGTTTTGCTATGCGTCGCATATAGGGGAATGCTCACGCTATGCACAGGTTCTGCTTTGGCCGTTAAGAACTGGGCGTGGCAATTGACGCATCCTGAGGGCGAACCCCTTCCTGGCGAGACTCCCTACGCAAACCAGGACTTGTTGATCGAGTCAGTGAAGGAGTCGTTGGAGTCTGGCAAGAAGCTGTCTGGCAGGTCGCCCAGGGTACTTGTCATTGGAGCTGTGAGTGTGCATTCGATGAGCTGAGGTCTCCTCATTGTACTGACCAAGTCTAGCTTGGGCGCTGTGGCAAGGGAGCCGTCCAGCTGGCCAAGGATGTCGGCATTCCTGAGTCCGATATCATCCAGTGGGATATGGAAGAGACCAAGAAGGGTATGTCTTCATTCTCACCTGCAGCTAATGTGCCTGCGCTAATCTAGTTTTCCAGGTGGTCCCTTCAGGGAGATTGTCGAGGATGCAGACATTTTCATCAACTGCATCTACCTTTCCGCTAAGATCCCTCCTTTCGTCAACACCGAAACTCTCTCTTCTCCTAACCGCCGCTTGTCTGTCATTTGTGACGTGAGCGCCGATACGTATGTTACTATTTGGACTCTTGAGGATAAAGGACGTTCTCGCTGACATTCTGGTCTTGCCTCACCCAGAACCAATCCCAACAATCCTATCCCTGTCTATTCCATCACAACCACTTTCGACAAGCCCACAGTGACTGTTCCCCTTGCCGAACGGGCCCAGGGCCCCCCATTGAGCGTGATCAGCATCGACCACCTCCCCTCCCTCCTTCCTCGTGAAAGCTCCGAGATGTTCAGCGAAGCCTTGCTGCCGAGCCTACTGCAACTCAAGGACAGAAAGAACGCTCGTGTCTGGAAGCAAGCAGAAGACTTGTTCAACGAGAAGGTTGCCACCTTGCCCGAGTCGATGCGCGCTTAAGTTTGTTTTCTCAACATGGCCTTCCGCGAAAGGCCCCCCACATGGTGAATCTGGACGCTCTCCCAACTCTCCCGTTCTATGGGCTGCTCTCTTGGGGGAAGCGATGACTTTTGTATATGCAGTAGTGTGTCATGAATCTCTGTTTAGAAAGACTACTACAATAGATTGAATCAATGAAAAGTTCTTGTTGAGACAAAAGGACCTGTGTTCAAGCGATTTCGAGATTTGAGTCTCATATATTCAGTCAGTCAGACGACGAAAGAAAGCCAAGTCATTCTAAGTTGATGATATTCCTGCTCTATCATCAACTAAAAAAGTGCCCGAATATCTCGATTATGTTGAAGTGAGAATTCTAATCTGCTTTATTTGCGCCTTACTCCAAGGTCACGTTTCGATCATGCCATGTCTCTGAGGCTCAGATCCAAGACTATCAAAAGGAACACCATCACCGCCCCAACTACACTTAACTTACAAATTTTATTCTTCAAACTTCTCCAACCGGCTGATGGGGTCTAACAAGTGGACAATTATCAGGATTGCGTATGGGATCATCACGCCCTATTGACGATGATCTCCTTACCATTTGCTCAGGGGCACTATGGTCCTGCAGATCTTGCTGTGGAACATCACTCAACTGACCCCGATGATCTCATATTGGTCCACGAACTCCTGGAGCACTGGAAGCCATGGTATCCTTGAACATGCTCCTTTTCCGTAGTCGTCGGGCGGACCCAGGATCTCCAATGTGGGGGTTTCAGACGCTGTTGACGGTCGGTTGACGGTCGCTTGGCGTGGCAAGTTCTCCGGACGGTCTCGGGAGTGAAGAGCGAAGAGCGAAGACGACGAAGATTGATCAGACTTCAGCATTCCCTTATCTTGTTGCCTGTATATTCATTTATGCAAGTCGCTCTGTCACGATTATCATTCGAATGTTCCGACGACATGAACGATTATTTAAGCAGTTTATAAGCATGCGTGAGTGCCCTTTTCTCGCCTTCAACCCCATTGTTCGGATTCCTCTCCGCAATCCCCATCCTCGGGTGCTACGCTGTGTATGGGGGAAAAACTTATCTGACGGACAATTATCCGCCCATAGCCGCCACCCAGAAACTGTCATCTTCACTCTGAATATCATCATTCGACAGAGAAATTGAACTACAGGAGTTGAAGAAAACTCATCGACATTCTTGTCCTGCCGTTAGGTTCGCCATTGGCTTTTGGAGTGGCTCGCCTCCCAGTCAGAGTCGAAGCTCACCTCCCCCGCGCCGCCGCCAATGGAGCAATGATCCTGGCGACGTTCGTGCATTCGAAAGACATCCTCAACTAATAGCACCGATAGAAGGCTCTCGCTGCTCAACAGCAACGCAGCTATGCAGGAAAAGTCGACGACCATCGCCGCATACGCAGCCGGAGCATCCCTCGCCGCCGTGGCCCTCTTCTACGTGTTCGGACCAAATTACACAATCGACGGCGACGACTCGAACGACGGCAACCGCAAGAAGAGTATTGTAGGGCTGACGAATCCGGCGAACGACTGCTTCATCAACTCGGTTCTGCAGGCGCTCGCGGGCCTGGGCGATCTGCGCGTCTACCTGATCAGGGAATTACATCGGCGTGAACTGGATGGACCGGACGTATATAACTCGCTGCCGGAGGCAGATGAGACGCCGCGGGGGATGAGACCCGAGAGGGTCCGGGAACTACAGCAGGGTACGATCACGCGAGCTCTGAAAGAGATGTTGGACCGATTAAATGAGCGTCCAATCTACAAGAAGACCATCACCAACCGGGCTTTCATCCAGGCTCTCGAGTACGCTTTCCGTACTCGGATTAGCCGCAATCAGCAGGATGCGCAGGAATTTCTTCAGATCGTTGCGGAGCGTCTTTGTGACGAATACCATGCCGGATTGAAGGCACGACAGCGTGCACAAGATTCTCTTGCAGCGCTGCCAGGCTCCGGTGGCGGGGAATCTATACAAAGTAATGCTGTCGAGAAGGGATCTACTGAAATCGAAGTGCGGATCGACGATGGATCTGAGATTGGCCTCCCGGCAATCATCGATAACAAATTGAAAGAGATCGACAATGAATACGGATTTCCTTTTGAAGGACAAATGGAATCGCAGATTGAATGCCAGTTCTGCCATTATCAATACAAGCCGAACAAGACTTCGTTCGTGAATCTGACGCTACAAGTTCCTCAGAAGAGCTCGACCACACTCAGTTCCTGCTTTGACGGATTGCTCAAAACGGAATATATCGATGACTTCCGGTGTGACAGATGCCGGTTACAACATGCCCTGGATGCTAAGATGGTAGAAATGAGCAGGTCTCATTCCACAAGAGATCGCGAGCGTATCGAACAGGAGATCCAGCAGATACGACATGCTATCGTTACAGATCCTGAGAATCCTCCCGAAGGAGTCAGCCTTCCTCCAGCGGATCTTGCACCTAAGCGAAAGATTGCTCGCCATATGCGCATCACTGTTTTCCCCAAGATTATTGCAATCCACCTCTCGCGCTCGATCTTTGATCGCAGTAGTTCTACGAAAAATGCCGCCAAAGTATCCTTCCCTGAAAGGCTTCCTTTGGGTGGGATTTTGAGCCAGAAGTGGTTCAAGCTGCTGGCCATTGTCTGCCACAAAGGCAGTCATAACAGCGGCCACTACGAATCCTTCCGACGTAACAACCTCTACCCGCCTTTCTCTACTCCGGACGTCTTTAGTTCCTACGCGCAAAGTCGGGCGCCCAGCGTCAATCCCTCTACTGCACCGAGTCCTCGCTTCGCGGCTCGCGGGGCCCCCGAG